TAAAACATATCATCAAGTAATATTCAAACGATATAATAACAATTAAAGATGAAGGAAAGATTCATACCCGTCACCACATCAGGAGTCGCTCGCGCCTCCTCTGCTGTCATCTGAAATGCCCTACTCTTCGCCACCGGCGCATCAGCTCGGCCCTGCCGGCCATCCGTAATCCTCAAGGTGGCAGGGGCAGGTACAACCACCTTCCCTGCTGCAGCTAAACTGGGACACTGGGACCTTTTATGTCCCCTCTGATTGCACTGAAAGCAAATCAGATCTGATGCTGTAACCGTAGTAGCAGGGACCGTACAATCCCTACTCAAATGCCCAGTCCGACCGCACTTGTAGCAGCAGGAACTCCCTGCCTTGCACGCCCCCTCGTGCAATCTCCCACACTTGCCACACCGACCGTGGCTCTGCTGACCCCTAGACCTGTGATCTGAAACCTTGGGCTTTTTGCCCACACTGCCTGAACCCGAAAACGCCTCCGGTTTCCTCTTCTTCTCCATCTCGAGATCAATCTCCCTCTCTCTAGCTCTGGCAATCATGTCGTCCAGCGTTTTACAACTGGACCGGCTCACAAACATGCGAATATCACTCCGCAACATCTCATGATAACGGGCCTTCTTCATCTCCTCATCGGCTGCATACTGAGGAACAAGAAGGGCCCTCTCCCTGAACTTGGCGGTGATCTCCGCCACTGTCTCTATAGTCTGGGTAAGGTCCTGAAACTCCCTAGCTAACTGCTGCACCTCAATGACCGGTGCAAACTCCGCCCTGAACCTGGTAGAGAAATCAGCCCAGGTCATGGCATCCAATGCCGCATCATCCCCGATGGCATGTCCGACCTCCTCCCACCAATCCCGTGCCCTGTCCTTCAGAAGACAGGACGCCAATCTGACCTTGTCCCCCTCGGGACACCTGCTAGTGCGGAAAGCGTTGGCCACATCCGCCAACCATCTAGTACTCGCTATGGGGTCCCGCGCCCCATGATAGTCTGGAGCCCCGCATGCCCTGAACTCCCTGAACGTAAGTGTGCGCGACCCCATCACGGCCGCCATCTCAGCACGGAAAGTACTCAATCTCTCATCCATCAGCTCTAAAATACCCTCCTTGATCGAACCGAAGATCACAGGAGTCTGCTCTAGTATGATGCGGGTAACCTCAGAAGAAAGGAACTCCTAGTCTGCTCATCATCTGCCCGGCCTCCGGGCCTGATCCCGATCCTGATCCCCCTCCGGCATCTGAACTGCCGGCTGCTGGCCTCGGACGCAAAACTACCATTCTGAAACATATCATAACAACATCAGAACACTGAAATATCTCAAGGGATCATGATACTACTACTAGCTTCCTGGTCTTGTCTTGGCCTTCCTTAATTCGAGTACGGATCCTCTGCTTTCAGTAGTATGGGCCCCTACTACCTTCCACATCTATCCGTACTTTCCTCAAGAACTGCCTTGACTCCACCAAGTCACTTCTACTACTGCCATTCTCTGCTACTCTCATCCTAGGCTTGCCCTAGGGAAACTCAAGCTCAACACGACTGGTCCTCAGCTGCTGTAGGTCTCCTCATAATGCCAGTTAGCCACCACCTAAACACCATCACATGTGATGAGGATCAGATAATCCTTCAAGTAAAAGATCCGTCCCTACAACGGTTGGACTCAAACAAGAGCTGCGCAATAGGGCCAGTTCCAGCACTCTGGGATTATTCAAACCTGATCACATGTGGTGTGACGTGTTCACCTAATGGCTAACTCCCACTACTCAGAACCCCACCAAGCACGAAGCAAGCAGCATTCGGACAAGGGAAACAGACTCAGGCAAAACTATTCTTATAACAAGAAACTGCACTAGCATAGGATGCTAAGCTCATACTATCAGGCATAACCTAAACAGGCTATCCTACTGCTGTCTACTCAATTCTAGCATGCAATACTCATAAAGCTGTAACACATAAGCAGGCACATAAGGCATTCTCCTAGATCCTTAGCCCTATACTAGCATGCTGTTCTACTGAAACTGAAACTGAACAAATAACTTGTATGGGTAATTTGGGAGTACTTACTTGAGCTCGGCTGACCGCATGCACACACCTCTATCTTGTTAAAAACAATTCTTTCTTTCTAAGTGCTTTCAAAATTCTTTTTGTAAAACATTTTTATTTTACTAAAATCTTTTATTTCCCTTAGTTTGAGTTCAGATACACCCGGAAGTGTATCCGAATCCCTCAAACCAGGGCTCTGATACCAACTTGAAACGACCCAAAAACACGACCCAAAAATTTTCGTTTTTCATATAATCAAACCATAATATAAGTATCATAACATAAAACATACGCGATGTATCCCCAAAACATAATAAAATATTGTGCGGAAAACTGTATCATACTACATCAATCCAAAACATCAAGACATCCCCAGGATAAAAGCTATGCTGTGGTGTGTGCGATGCTTCACCCCGAGCTCTTCCCTTTGCTTGCGGAAGTACCTGAAACCAAACTGAAACTGTAAGCACGAAGCTTAGTGAGCTCCCCCAAACTACCACATACCATACAATAACATAAACACATATTGGGCCTTGCCCACTGCATCGGGCCGAAGCCGGAACTGCATCGGACCGAAGTCCGGAACTGACTGGGACCTTGTCCCCTGCATCGGACCGAAGTCCGGAACTAACTGCATCGGACCGAAGTCCGGAACTGACTGGGACCTTGTCCCCTGCATCGGACCGAAGTCCGGAACTAACTGCATCGGACCGAAGTCCGGAACTGACTGGGACCTTGTCCCCTGCATCGGACCGAAGTCCGGAACTAACTGCATCGGACCGAAGTCCGGAACTGACTGACTGAACATGGCATAGCATAACACATCAACTAGCATAACACATATACGACATGCTACATCGGGCCGTGGCCCGGAACACAATACTTAACACATAAAACATAGCACACAAATCCTGTTCGAACCACGAAGGCATCGAACATACTAACTACTGCATCGGACCTAAATCCGGAAACTACTGCTAACTGAACGGGCCGGCATTGTGGCCTTAGACCCGTTCCTACTGGAAGGAAACTCACCTCGTAAGCTGGCTGCTGAGTGTGTGGCTCGGAAAGCTAACGGCGGCTGCTCCTGAATCTCCTCGGCTACAAATCCATAAACACACTCAATCAAATACTAAACACTGCGCTTGGGGTAAAATGACTCTTTTACCCTCGGTCAAAGTCAACTCTCCTTTGGGCTGACTCGCCGAGTTGGGCCACCCAACTCGCCGAGTCCTACTCTCACTTTTCACTTTTACTCACTGCTACTCGTCGAGTCTGGCATCGACTCGACGAGTACCCTCTTGATCCAAGAACTCAGACAATCTTCATCCGACTCGCCGAGTCGTATGAACAGACTCGACGAGTTGTTCTTGATCCCAAGAAGATTGCCTTGGACTCGCCGAGTTGATGAACAACTCGCCGAGTCCCTTCATCACTGAGTTCACCCTCAACTCGCTGAGTCCACTCTCTAACTCACCTCCTCCACTCGACACTGATAAAACTGAAGAACTCGGGACTCGCGACCCAACTCGTCGAGTCGTTCTTCCGACTCGCCGAGTTGCCGCCATGCAACTGATTTTTACTCGATTTTGTTTGAATCCAATGCATACAATTGATAGATCTGAGTCCAATAAGCTGATTTACCACGTAAAGTTTCCAACTTTACGTGCACAACCTTATGAATAAGGGAAAAAAGGCTAAAAGATGCATAAAATGGGTAGATCTATGGTTATCATGCAATATAACTCCAAAAAGACAGTAGATCTGGGCTCTACAACACCCCAACATTCAGATCCATAACTATTTCGACTTAATAAGACGTTCATGCAAGTGTAAGGCTTGGAACAAACATCAACTAGCTCTTAGGAGAGCTCTAATGGAAGTTTAAAGCATATAACAAGATGGAACTCCGAAAATACCTCAATTAACTCTGATTTGGCCTTGGATCTTTGCACTACAACACTTCTCCTTGCTTCTTCCTTCTTCTCCTTCTTCACACCTTCACAAAATGGCACCAAAACACATATAAGCTCTTCAAGGGAGGTTTAGGGTTCTAACACTGCGTTCTCAGGGTGAGGGAGGCGAGGATGGGGGCTATAAGGTGGTATAAATAGTGGGCAACCCGGGGATTTTAGGGTTTCACCCAGACAGATGGACTCGCCGAGTCAGGGATATGGACTCGCCGAGTCCCCGGCTCACGCGTGCCCTCAGGCGCGACCCTACTCGGCGAGTCAGGCTAGAACTTGCCGAGTCCCTCTTGAAAAACTCACTATAATTACCAATCAATCAACATACCGGGAACGGGTCGTTACAATCTAACTAGAAACGGTAAGCAGTTCATGATCGTTGGGCTCGAGACGCGGAATGCATTCAACAAACGAGAGGGAAAGAAGATTTTGGGTGTAGGAATGGCTGAGGTCGAACTTGCTATTTATAGCCTGATTTTTGGTCTCTCATGTTGTGAGACATACATGCTCACATCGTGAGCCATGCCTGCTCATCACGTAGACTTGCCATTTGTGTTTATAGCTCCGAAACGTGTCCGGACAACTTCTCACATCGTAAGAAATTATGCTTACGTCGTGAGCCTTAAATGTAGACTTGTCTGCATTCTATCGTTGAAAAGTGGCATTTTAACTCCTCAAGTTGTGAGAATTAATGCCCACATCGTTAGTCCAGTCAGATTAGTGTTTCTAACATGTGTCATACTCTCAGACAGTTGTATCTTCGGAATGTCATAACTTTTGCATACGAGCTCCTCTTTAGATATTCTTTATATCCACGCGAAGATGGTGACATACTACACAACTTTCATTTAGAATCCTAAGGCTAAAAAGTATACTTCATAAACTCATTTTTTTTACGATTCCCTTTATCATGCCGGTTTTATCGTCAAAATTCGACATGTAATAATTTCTTTGTTATAACTCAGATTTCGACGTTCTTTATATCTTCGAAATCCTTTTTACGACCACTACAACTTTCTTCATAGATATTAGGTTTATCTAACATTTTTATGCTTATTTTTATCCTTAATATGTTATATCATCATAATTAAGTATAAAGCAGATAAATGCACATAATACTCAAATAATTCATTTTTATTACTTCAAAATGAGTTACAGTGGTTGACCTAGACTATTACATTATAATTAATGCTTAGTCCAGAAACACGGGCATTACAATTCTCTCCCCCTTAGGATGATTCCATCCCAGGATAATGCATCAGCAAACAAATGCAGATAGCGAGTCATCATGTCACTCTCCATTTCCCAGGTGAGATTTGGTCCATTTGTATGTTTCCATTACACAAACACTAAGGGCTTGTTTGTTTTTTAGAAAAAAATCTTTTTGGGCTCTTTCATCTGCGGGCGGGTAGACGTTTGTCAAATAGACTGTTTGTTTTTTGGAATAGAAAATAGCCCAAAAAGTCTTTTTCATCACTTATCCGGAAAGACCTAATAATACCCCTTCTAAGCTTGGAATACATTCGTCGCCTCCATCGCCCCCATTCGATCTTCCCCCTTTCACGACTGCATTTTCTCACACCTACGATCTATCCATAGCAGCCAATTCCTCCATCGGACGTTGGTCTCGCTCTACTCCGCCATTCCACGCCGCCATCGTCCCCGCCATCGGCTCATCAGGTATTCCAGCTCCTCTTTATCCTTCTGTTTTTGGCTGTTCTTGGCTCTTCTTTTATGTGGCTCTTTTGTCTCATGTCTCGGCTCATCAGGTATTCTAGCTCCTCTTTATCCTTCTCGTTCTTTTCTTACCTCGGCTCATTAGTTATTCTAGAAATCTCATCACCATTTTGTCAATTAAAAACGTTAATGTTATTTTATTTCTCAAATAACTTCTAGTTTTCCTTCCTTTATGTTTTAACTCAATCTCAAAATCAATATAGGATTAATTGTTAAGAATTTTGAGAAACTTTGAAAACCCATTTGATTTCTAATTGCAATAATGGGAGGGATATGAACTTGGTGTTGAATTTCATAGGTAGACCATATATTTTTAAGATTGATAATTAGTATACATATTTGACATAAGTAGAGTACCTGTTAGCATATGAATGATGTTGTGATCATAATAACATCAATTCTCATAAGAATGAGACTTGACTGCATTAGAATGTTGAACTCTATGCTTGAAAATGAGTATATTTGATGTCATCAAAGCATGCATTGTCAATGTTGTTGATTTCTCAATGCTGTTGATTTTGTTACATGCTTCTAGTGTAGTGCTTTTATTTAATTTTATTTCTTGATCAAAATCATGTTATTTCTCATCAACTTTAGATTCATTTGAATTGAATGTTTCTATTTTATGTTGTTTGTGTTGTAATCCATAGATATGAATCATGAAGTTTTTTATTTTTAGTTTTTTAAGTCTGTTCTTTCATGGACCTAATTTATAAAGTTATTATATATAGCTTGTCTAAATGGGAGACAAACTACAATGGTCGAACGAGCAAGTAAAATGTATATTAGATACGTGTATCGAAGAGGTCAATAGAATTGGTAGAAAAGGAGGTAGCATGCACAAGGAGTCTTAGGTTACATTAGGGAAAGCTCTAAAAGAAAAGTTTGACATGGATACTTCACAAAAACAATTGAAAAACGCTTTTGATAATCTAAAAGCTAAATATGTAGGGTGGAAATATTTGAGAAACAAGTCAGGGAATTTATACAATGCTCAAACAAATTCATTTGCCTTGGTAAACACAAAGGAAGAATTCAAGAAGGTGTGTCTATATAATTTTTTTTAGTTTATGTCCAATTTTAATAATGATGTCAAAATACTTATAATTACTATTAATCCTCGTTTAGGATCATCCAAAGGCAGGATCATTGAGGACACACCCATTGCCTTATCCAAACCTTTTGCGCATCCTTGATTGATGGAAGTAGTGCCAGCGGTAGCATCAAATGGACCTCTACTCAAACTACACCCACAGATACATCATCTTCTTCTCATCGTGTCCAAAGACTTCTGATTGATGACAACCCTTTTAATGGCCTAGAAGATGATGACGCTTCCAATAACACTAGTGCTCGACTCCTAGTGATAAAGCTCATGGTGGTTCTACCGAGAGGCCTGATAAAAGGATTAAAACCACTGATGCTTCTAATGAAAGGCCTGATAAAAGGAGTAAAACCACTAATGCTTCTATTGAGAGGCCCGATAAAAGGGCTAAAACCAGTGATGCTTCTACTGATAGGACCGATAGGACCGATATGGATAAAGCCTCTAAAACCTCTGTTAGTCTTGATAAGCTGAGTCTTGATATGCAAAAAGCTCTGCAACATATGGTAAATAGCAAAGAAGGACCAACAGTAGAAGAATTTTATGAGAGGTTGAAGCTAGTTGAATTAGACCCAATGGATCCTATATTTTTGGCAGCCTTTCACCTTTTTGGAATGTCCATGAATATGAGAGAGGCATGGATGACATTGCCACCGATACCTGGGGTCTTAAAAGGGTGGATAAAGATGACTGGCACCACATTAGGGATGTTTAAGTAGTCTTTATCCTTATGTTTTTTCTTTCATTTTGAACAATTATGTGTTTCTTGAACTTATGTTTGACATTATGTTTTTTTGCTATCATTTGAATGATTGTGTACTTATTTGACACAAATATTGCTAGTATTGGGATTATATACTTATTTGAAACAAAATGTGTGCTTTGAATATGATACAAATGTTTATGTTTTTTGATTTAGCATATTAGGATTTAACAAGTGTTGATGGTTTAACAGGTTCACAATGGATTACGATAAAAAGTTGTGCATCCTAATTGTTATGTATTTGTATCTTCGCTTTTTTTTTTTGGAGAAGAGGTTTGAAAAGAATGCGAGATAATACCTCAAAAATGTCTGGGTATCGATTCACATTAGAGTTATTATAAGGAACTAATAACCAATGCATTGAACTCTTACGCATGGCACATGATTCTTATGTTCGGCTTTGCACACATTTTAGAGTAAAAACTTGGTTAAAGGACAGTAAACATATATCGGTTGAAGGGAAGATGGCGATGTTCTTGATGATGATTGGTCACAATCAACGTTATGTAATCATCAAACGTAGATTTCAACAATCAAAACAAACGATTCATAAGTATTTTTATGAAGTATTGTATAAAATGATGGTGTTTACAAAAGATATAATAGTACCAACTTCCTTTAATCCAAATCCAAACATCCCGGGACATAATAGGAGGTTACAAAGGATTTTCAGAGGAGTGGTTGATGCACTTGATGGAACTTTGGTACATGCTATTGTCCCTCTTGACAAACAACATTTGTATAGAGGAAGAGGAAAAGGAGACTGTTATCAAAATGTATTGGCAATATGCGACTTCAATATGATTTTTACATTTGTCGTGGTTGGATGGGAAGGGATAGCACAGGATTCAAGAATATTATCTGAAGCTTTAACAGATTGAGATGCACCATTTCCATTTCCACCACCAGTTTTTTTTTTACATTTTCATTTTAATATTTCTACTTTTTTTTTAAATTAATTATTTGCTTATATTTACAGATAAGTATTATCTTTGTGATGCTGCATATACACACACACCCGAGGATTTATGGCTCCTTATCGTAATGTGCGGTATTGGCTTGGAGATTTTCATTGAAGACGTGCATTAACCAACAAAGAAAAATTTAATCACTCACATGCAAAACTTCGAAATGTCGTTGAACGCGCTTTTGGTCTCTTGAAAGCACGTTTCCCTATATTGAAGAGAATGGCTCCATTTCCATTGGTTACACAAAGAAACATCGTCATTGCATATTTTGTGCTTCATAATTATATAATAAAAGAGGGATTAAGTGATGAGTATCTTTCTCAATATAATCAAGTCGATATATCACTTCAAATCAACAATGTACAAGATGATGATGATGAGGATGATTACGTGGATGAGGTACAACCACACGGAAGTGCAAGAGACCGGGAATATATGGCACATATACGAGATCAAATTACTGACCAGTTAATGCGTGTAGAATGAATGATTTCATAAAAATATGTTAGTTTTGTGAATTTAGTTTTAATATTGTAAGACAATCATCAAAACAATCCTTTATGTTTTTAAAAATATCAACTTTAATAAGTAAGCGGCCTTCCAGTTTGAGTCGAAATATATATAGTTTATATAATGTTTTAAAAAATATTATATGTTTGAAACTATATGAAATTGTTATTAGCAAAGTTTAAGTCAAATATAAATTTTAATAGATTAGTAATGTATGAGATGCTGAGTTTTTAGCATTTGAGCTTTGGTTGTTTCAACATTAATTTCAAAGATCGGTTTTCTTGTTGAAGAATGAAAATTAATGCAAATCGGGTGGCAACGTGTAAGTATACAATTCTTATTAAGAAAAAATCTAATGTATATTTTTATGTTGCTTTTTTATATTATCTAATATTTTCTTACAAAATACTATAAATCTATTAAATTGTTCGTAAATATTATTAAATGGATAGGTTTTTCAATTTATTAAAAACCAACGTGAATTATTCTTATTTTAATCTGAGAAAAAAATAAGGTTAATTAATCTCCTTTATTACAAGATCTCTTAAGTTTTAGTTCATTCTAATTAAAAAACAAACAATCTTTTTGCATTAAGACTTTTTTTATGAATACATAAAAAAGACTTTTAGTCCACGTCTTCTTCCGCATACATGGAAAAAGACAAAATACATTTGACCACTTCCAAATCAAACACCACCTAAATCGACCATATTGCGTCACAACTTCTTAGTCTTATGGTCAACGATCGCCTCTGGTTCTTCAATTAGACTCTTGTTTTCATCCATCCTTAACTCAGAAATTGGAATTATGTCGGGAACTTCTCCTATGAACTTCCTCAAATAACACACGTGGAAAGTGTTATGAATACCATCTAGTTCTTCTGGTATTTCTAGCTTGTAATCTTGGTTCCTAATCCTCTAAAGAACTTTAAACGGTCCAATAAACCTTGGACTAAACTTTCCCCTTTTACCAAATCCTATAACTCTCTTCCACGACGAGACGTTAAGTAAAACTGAATCTCCAACTTCAAATGTCAATAGTTGTCTTTTGTTATCAGCATAGCTCTTTTGACGATACTGAGCTGCTAACATCCTTTCCATAAACTGCTTTTCTCCAGCTTGAAGCCAACATGACGACGTTCGACACTTCTGTCCATACAAAGCTTGATAAGGTGTCATCTTAATGCTCAAGTGGAAACTATTATTGTAGGAAAATTCTGTTGGATAAGGTGTCTAAGTCCATAACTATATTTGGTATGTACCTGACCCGACCCAACATGGTCCACTTGGGTTGCATGGCATCATGCATTTGGATAGACTTAATGACAGAATTAACACTTGTGGTTTATTAATATATTATAATTTCTAATATATTAATAGTATTATTTAATTAGTATTGATCAAGAATTAATTTGGAATTAATTAAGTGATCAAAAAGATAACTAATTAAATATATGGGTTGATTATGTAAATCATCTAGAACTTGTATAGTGGGCTAAAAGGCTCCATGGATTATCAAGTTGGGTTAAACCCATAGGATGCTCCATGGGAGTTACAAACCCATGGGTCATGGAAATGAAGAGTCATGTCACATTGGGGTTTACATGGTGTAACCCTAGATGTGACACACTATATAAGGAATATGATATTCACCAAAATCGGTTACACTAAGAACAAGAGAGCTATGCCGATTTTACTAGTGTTATACATTCTCTAAATTTATTCCAAAGCATTTGGTGTTGTGTGAAGCATTTGAGGCATCACACATAGGGTGCTAGGCTATCAAGGTTTTCAAGGAATCAAATCAACTACAAGGTATGTAATTCTAGCCAACTTTTAGATTAAATGTTCCCCATGTATCGTAGATAGGATTATGAACCTTGGAAATCATTTTTTGCATGTATTTTAGACAAACATATATCCAAGGTTTTCTAGGGTTGCATGTACACTTAGGGGTGTTGGAATTCTCAAAACCTATCAGTGGTATCAGAGACAAGGCTTGTTTGTTAATACTAGATGCAAAATAGTGTAAAAATTCGATTTTTGAGCTGTCTGCACAAGGGACTCGACGAGTCCATAGGGAGGACTCAACAAGTCCTAGTTAAAATGCAACCAAATCGGTGAGTCAGTTCGTGCACTCGACGAGTTGGCCAGGCAGTGTGTAGAATTTCGATTTTTGCTGCTGGAAATAGACTAGAAACATTACCCTAAACTGTTTTGGTGTTGCAAAGCTTGTTTTAGATGGTGTAATGGTTGTCCTAATCCATTTACAATGACTAATATCAATTTTCATGATCTTATGTGTTCATATGTTCTTTAAACTTTGATGTGAATATTCATGTTCTTATGAGTTTTTTGATAGATCATTGGAATTACTTGTTAATGTTTAATTCATGATCTTTATGTGTTTTAATGGAGTCCATAACTTCTCCTTAAGTTATGGATAACCAAAAGTCTCTTTGTGTTAAAAACCATTAAAAGAACACATAAGTTATAAAATGGAGAGTCTTCATTTTAATAACTCATAAGTTATGAATTTGAAAGGTTTTGTAAAGTTACAAAACTTGCTCTCAAGTTTTGGAACATGTAAAGTCACTTAATAAGCTTTAGTTCCAACCCATAGAGTTTTAAAAGTCAAAAATCAACCCTTATACTTTATAATACTATAAGTTAATATATATATATATATATATATATATATATATATATATATATATATATATATATATATATATATATATATATATATATATATATATATATATAAGGGCAAGTCGTCTTACCATTAGTAGGCCTCATTCTCAAAGCCGATCTATAAGGGGGTATAAGGTTGTTGCCTATAAAATGGTGTCTTAATGGGTGTCCACTCTCACCCACTGCTTCCTTGATCGGTGGAGGGTCGTTAGCCGAATGGGTAGGACAAGGATTTATAAATTCTCATTAAAAGTATGATGAATATTATAAAGTAACTAAATTTTTGATTAAATTCCCAATCTTAGTTACTTTAGGAAAAATGTGAATAAGATGCTAATCCATGAAATTACACTTTGCACTTTGATTAAGTCGTTGGTGGATCATGTATGGTTAACCGGCACACTAACTTGGACTTAACAAGGTAGGTAAAGGGTGACTTAAGGTTTATCATAGTATCAGTGGAGCGTATGTGGTTAACCGGCACATCGTTTGAGTGATGAAGTTTAAGGGTACTAAGTAATTTGCATGGTTACTTCACACCTCGTTTTGTGATCCTCGGTATCCCAGTCACAAAACTTGGAGGGCACACTCGAGATTGAAACATGCATTTGAAAAATTCATTGAATCTCAAAAAGAATCTAGGAATTTCTAAGAACTAATTAAAAACATAATATTTTTTTTCGCTTTTCATGGTGGAAATTGGTCAATCATTATTCACCTACCTTTCGAATATGTTAAAGCTTAGATTACGGCATACCTCTTCTAAGTTATGATATATTGTGATT